ATCAGATAAAAACCATTGTCACTGACATTTTCTTAATAAGAATTTGCAAATTCCATTATTAACAAATAGCCACTAGGCTTCATAAAGTTAATAACTTTCATATGTTTCTAACATAAAAGCTAGTAACTAGGATCATAGGAATGAGAAATGTGTTTGACTAAAATAAGCCCCCGCACCCTTGTGGTCTCTTAAAGTACTGCCTCCAACACAGGTGCTTAAACATCAAATGGCAGACAAAGTTCTTTGGGTGAATCCGATATCTTTTATTAGACCAACTTAAATAGTTGGAAAACAATTTTTAAGCAAGCTTTTGGGTTCAAAAACCCTTCATCAGGCTGAGGAAGTTTCAGCAGTTGGTGTGTGCTGTTCCTGGATGGAATGAAAAGTAAAGAAGCCAGAGGCTGGGCTGGTATGCATACAAGATAGGCAGTCCGTGAATGTCTCTCACCCATTGAGGAGTCAATGGGTGAGAGACAGGCTGGGTGTGGGAGGAGAGAAGGGGGATGAATAGTGAAGTACCTGGGGAGTGAGATGTCAGGCAGCTTATAATGCGTCATAAATCCAACGTCTATATTTAGTTCATGATTTTTAGTATCTAGGTTGATGAAGTAGAGTTCATAGGCTCATGCCTGGGAAGTGTTTTGTAAGCTTCCTTTGAGGATCAGGACTGAGAGATTGGAGAGAGAATGGTTTTCTTGTGAGAAATGTGCCCCCACAGGTAATTGGGTATTCCTGTCTTTGATAGATTTCCAGTGTGCATTCATTCTGGTGTGCAGTTGCTCTTTGGCATCTCCTACATATTTTCCATCAGGTTATATGGTGCATTAGATGAGATATATTACATTTCTGGAATTTCTTGGCAAAAGAGGCAGGAGATAAGGTTTCCAAAGTTTCTTTTATATTAAGAAAGTTATACAAGCAGAACAGAAAGCTCTTACCACCTTACACTTCCAAAAGTTCCTAGAAAACTCCCTTGGTTCTAAAGACACTAACCTGCAGAAAGGATTTGGAAGAACTGGCATCATACATACAATGTTTTCACATGTGCATGTACAGACGCACACAAAAGATTAGACAAAACCTTTGTGAAATACAGCCTGAAAAAACAGGGCCAAATTCTCATAACAGACATGACCTGAACTACAAGTCTCCCTCGATTTATGCGGTACATGCGTTCCCAGAGAATGGCGCGTAAGTCCAATTTGCAAAAAGCGATTGCACTTTACAGTGTAACTAATAGGGATAGGTTCGAATGATGGTGAGTGAGGGAGGGAGGTTGGGACTAGGGAAGGAGTAGGGGGAGGGGTGCTGCTCCTGGGGCCGCACAAGGCAGCAAAGCAGAGGGAACAGAGAGGCACTCACCCCAGCCCCAGCTGCAGCAGCCCCAGGAACAGCTGACTCCAGCTGCCTGTAGCTGTGCCCTGGTGCAGGCAGCTGGTGTCAGCTGCTTCCAGGGCCCCTCCAGCATGGGCTGGGGTGAGTACAGACAAGTGGAGCCCCTGGCAACACGGGGCACAGCACTCACCCCAGCCCCAGGAGCAGCTGTCACCAGCTGCTTGTAGCTGGGCTGCCCCATGCCCCAACCTCACCTGGGGCTCTGCTGGTCCCCACTCATGCCTTCCCATGCTGCAGCAGCCCCGGGAGCAGCCAACACCAGCTGCCTGCAGCCGCTGGACTGCACCGTGGCCTGATACAGGCATGGTGTGAACTGCTCTCAGGGCCACTCCAGCATGGGCTGGGGTGAGTACAGACAAGCAGAACCCTGGGCAGCACAGGACACAGAACTCACCCCAGCCCTGGCTGCAACGGCCACCCCAGCTGCACCAGAGCCTCAAGAGGTTTGGGGCACAATGCAGCCCAGCTGCTCCCAGGGCAAGTGCCGCGCTCTGCACTACCCAGGGCTCCGTTTGTCTGCACTCACCCCAGCCCTTGCTAGAGCAGCCCTGGGAGCAGCTGACACCAGCTGCCTGCACCAGGGCACAGTGCAGCCCAGCTGCTACAGGCAGCTGGAGTTGGCCACTCCTGGAGCCACTCCAGAATGGGAAGGGGTGAGTGGGACTGGCAGAGCCCCGGGGCGGGGGGTGGTTGGGCCACAGTGCAGCCCAGCTGCTACAGGCACTTGGCGGCAGCTGGGCCCGGCTCTGCTTGCCTGGACTCACCGCAGCACATGCTGGAGCAGCTGACACCGGCTGCCTGCACCAGGGCACAGTACAGCCTAGGAGCAGAGGTGAGTGTGGACAAGCCGAACCCTGGGCGGCACAGGGCATGGCACTCACCCACAGCCTAGGCGCGGAGGGAGAGGGGTAGCACAGTGCAGCCCAGTGGTTGCAGGCACCTGGTACGGGCCGCTCCCAGGGCTGCTGCAGCCAGGGCTGGGACAAGTGAGGCCATAGCCCTTTCCTTTCCCCCCTCACAGACTTACCTGCTTGAGTAGAGGGAATTGTCTATGCTGATCGCATAAAAGCAAATTTACCTTGCATATAATGAATTATGGGTCTAAATATGCTCATTGCATAAGAGCAAATTTGCATATAAAGAATCTGCATAAATGGAGGGAAACCTGTATACAGTTAAAATTTGTTTAATCTCTTTGGTCTTCCTAGGTGATTTAAATGTTTTCAAAAGCTTGGAATCTCTCTCCTCTCAGTATTCATAGTGAAACCCTTAATGGACAATACTTGTTTTTACAGAAATATAGGGTACTTGCAGGGATATTTAGGTGTGTAAAAAAGCAGCTACACACTTTAGTCCAGGGGTTGGCAATTATTTCAGGTGGAGGGCCGCTTCCCGAGTTTTGGCAAGCCATCAAGGGTCATATGGGCAACCCCACCCCTTGACAGGTGCCCCACCCCCTGGTTGTCATCTTGGGACCAGAAGTCCTGCCCCCTAACCCCTGACATTTGCCACCAGAAATACCTCCCTTTGCCCCCTGGAAGTACTCCTTTAAGCAATGGGGTTTGTCATCCATGAACCTGCACTTCTGAAAGCCCAGGCCCCATGCTCCCGCTCACTGCCATTTGGCCCCATCTACCACTGCTGCCCTTCTCCTGCCACTTCCCCATTCCCCCCTGCCGCTCTGGCATCCTGTCCCAGCTGCTCTTGTGGTCCCCAGTGCTGCAGCTGGGAGCTATGTGGTGCTGGAGTGGCCAGCCGGTTGGTGGAAGTGGGGAAATCAGGGAAATAGCTGTGCCAGGTTGGGGGGAAGGGGCAGTGAGCAGGCACACAAAGTGCAGAGCCTGTGCCAGCACACCAGGGCCAGTGCTGGCACGGACCACAGTGGGGCAACAGAAGCCCGGGGCACAGGCTGCCACCAACATATTATGCATCCTCTTGATGTACCATGCCCCTGTTGCCTTTTTGCACTGCACTGTGTACCTCCACGGTCCCTCCCCTGCTATACAGTACACCTGGATGCTCCATGTTACCCTTAGCTCCCCACCACAGGGTCCTCCACTGCATGGTGCCTCTTGGGTGCCCCATTCCACATGCTACCCTAGCACGGCAAACTGTGCAACACTGCACTGCCTCAACTTCTGTGGCTGGGAAGGGAAAGCCAGACGGACACAGAGCTCAGAAACCCCAAGTGCTTTTAAGAGAGCTCAAATCTTGATGCCAACATTTCACATCTAATTTTGAACTGCAAAGTCTGCAACTCTTAACAATAAAAGCTGAATTAAAAGTACCATTTTCTATTTTGCAGCATTACGGGAGTAACAGCATCCACTACATACATTACTGAAGTATAGATGTTGAGATGGATATACTAATGCTGCTACATAACACAGAAGTAAACATCAAGTTACTGAACTGACCTGATAAAATTAAAATTTCCATTAACCAAAAGTCAATAATCAAACAGTACACAGGTTTCATCTCCCATATTCTAGTAACTTCATTTTTATAATTTTCAGTTGGTTTTACTTGCACAATAGAAGAGAAAAATATCATTCTTTCATAATTCATAAAATATATCTCCCTTAGAAAATCTGAAATCCACACCAAGTCATCCTTTTTTGGTTTTAGAACAAAGTGCCTCAAGCTAGTAGAACTTTGTTTTCAAAAAACGTAAAGCCTATTTCCTATTTAATCACATCAGAATTGTACAGCAGCTGCAGACTTATCAGTAGGCAATCAGAGCACTTCAGTTCAAGCGTTGGAACACACCTGCCTGCAAGTCAGGTTCCGCATGGATGAAGGGTTCTTCAGAGAGCAACATACTGTTAGTCTAGCGCCCTAACCATTCCCATCTTTGAAGAAGTTTTATTGTAAAAAGATATTACAGGGTAACTAGTTCTTGAATCTGTCATCACGTATTATTGCCCAAAAATATGCAAAAGCACGTAAGCAAATATAATTAAATAGTATTTACTACACAGTCATACAACATTTGAAATCTTGCTTACTATGTTGTACCAAGTAGATGCAAATACCACTATGAGGGAACATTGACCTACTAAAAACACACGGGCACTGAAACACACACGTACCTTGACTTAGGCCACCATTGTTCACAATGTTTAAACTTTAACTTACTTTCTTATTACTCATGGTTTTGCATTCTCTCAGATGGACAATGAACATCAACCACATCAGTTTTGATTTCAGTTCCTCAGTGCTGCAGCACTTGGGTTGCAAAAACTAATGGAAAATATCTTTATTGTAAGCAACCATTTCTTCTGGACTTTTTTTTTTTGAAATCCAAGTAAAACAATTTTTTTTTGTCTCAAGTTGTGACCCAAATTTCTGTTTACGGCATCCCTTTAAAAGTCGCATTGTTTCACTGATGTATTGGTTTTCCATAAAACATGTTCTATGGGAAAATTAAACAGACTTTCGAAGTACTAAACACTTCTAAAAATGTACCTGCTATTAGTGCTATGGTTCACTTATTAATTTCTATCCAGTTTATTCCCTCCCTCCATTTTCTGCATATTAAGTTTTCTCCTCTGCTTTGCAGAAGTCCATAAAATACAAAATCAGTAAGGCAATTCAAAAGCACTATTTCAGTTCATTTTATTTTTAAATGAAGCAGTTTTCAATACGATATTCTTTTCAGCTGCTTCTGATCTAATAAAACCCAACCTGTAATGATAATTATATTTGGCAGCTGAGCCCAGTCAGATTGTACACTCAGTCTTTAACAGTCTCTGTTTTCTACATCAAATCTCTTGCCCACTTTTCCACCTGTGTGAGAATCTACCATGCCAGTCCCTTGGCCACCTTGGATTTGTTTTTTCCTTTAACACGTTTTGCCTTAAGTTTCTTCTGCTGTCTGGGATTTAGCCAAACTGGGTACTGTCCGTGTTCATCTAGGAGAGTCTTTTTGTTTCTTTTACTATCTGTGTCCATCTTGCTTTGATCTGGGGGACAGAAAGAAAAAAGGATTTAAGGGCATAAAATAGGTTAACCAGTTTCACATAGGAATAAACTCTGCTTTCATACATTCAAGAAAAAAAACCTCTTGCTGCACACACAGTTTAGCCCTCATACAGAGCCATGAGTTTCAATAAAGTGAAAGGAGTTGTATTCCCACATAACATAAAGGCCTGTTTCTTCTACATAACACCATTTGCCTTAAGTGTAGTCTAGAAAATGACCATCCCACTTAAATGTGCCAGCTGCTGGAGGCAGAAGACGCCCAATGGCAGAACAGTGGGTGCCTGTACAGATTTTTGGAATTTAGGCATCAGCAACGTGAGCAGCTGTTAGGAGGGAGAAACAACAGAGCGTGTGATATCAGTGACTTAGAATGACAAGATTACAGACACCAACTCCGCCCCCCCCCCACAAATACTGATAACTGAAATGAAAAACTGAGTATCAACTAGAGCAAAGTTGCCAAGTTTCCATGCACAGAATAAATGAGTGTACATCAAAGCAAGGACCAATCTAAGTAAGAGCCTAATGGCCTAGGAAGATGCTATCCATCCTGTTACAACTAACTAGATGCACTTGTATATTCCTCTGTCTCCTCACAGAGTGGGCAAAACATTGCCCTGACACTTACTTGACAGCATTTCCCTATCTGGCTGCAACAGAACAATTAAGCAGTTTCCAGAAACCTTCCAGACCATCAACTGATTTAAATGAAAATCAGAAAGAGCCAATAAGGAATGGCACAGAGTACCAATGGTGGCTAGAAAACCTGCAGAGGCCAAACAACTGCCACCATGAGGAAAGGGAAGGCTGGAAATATCCAAATAGAGAGGGATAACAGAGCAGCTTAAGAAAAGTTGGAGATATGCTAGGAAACCCATTATGTGCACTATTAATTTACAGAAATAATGAAGCATGTGGAACCCCGTAGCATAGATCAATGGTGGTCATCCTTTAGGATAACCTGTGAGTGGGATCAGTGTGGTGTGGATCAGAGCCTGCAGGCTGGATGCCTCATGGGGTTGGTGTATAGGGTTGGGCCCTGTGTGCCCAGATCAGGCCCTGCACCATTCTGGCTCAGCACTGTGCGCTAGGATTTGGGTCCAAACCATCCCAGCCTCATCTGCCAGACTGAGCATGCAGGACTGACTTACCCAGCCCTGTAGCCTTCCCATAGGTACAGAAGTTTGGCAGTGGTGCAGCAGCAATTAACACTGCCCCCAGTGCCAAATCTCTGCAGCTGTGGGGAGCCCAGCAGAGTAGGTAACACTGGTTCAGCCCACAGCCCAGGGCTAAGCACCCCAGTATAGCTCCCAAACGCTGAAGCCCTATGGGTTGGGGAACCACATGCGGGCTACTGCTTACTGCAAGTCGCTCAACAGCTGACGCACCGCCCCCACACCAGCACGGCCAGCGTGTGCCTGCACAAGGGAAAAAGTAGCACCTATGTCAATTCACAACGGCAGCAAGACGGCAAGGGCCCGGGGCGCTGGTCACAGCAGCAGGGGGAGCATAACCAGCACCAGCAGAGACTGGTCTGGGAGAGCGCGTCCCACGCAGGCATGCTGGAGGCCCAGGCACAGAGCCCTCATACTCAAGATGAACAGACTCACCCTCAGGAGCCTGGACCTTCTGCGGTGGGACCAGGGTGGCCACGTCCTGAACCTCACTCAGGAGGGCGCCGGCTTTCAGGATGTCCCTCAGGCGCGCCAGCTCCTTGGGGCCGTTCTTCTGCCGCTTCTGCGCCCGCATCTTCCGCTTCCACTTGCTCCTCAGGCTCTTCGCCATCTGCAGCTGGGAAAGCAAAAGAAACCCCCAGCCCTTCTCTTCAAACCTCGGAGGCCGGTCTCCTCGCGGCCGCCGCGCCAGCAGCCAGGGCAGGCGGCAGCGGCAAGGGGCGGGGAACGGATGTGCGGGGGAGGGGGGGCGCATGCGTGCGGCGGTGGGCTGAGGCCTCACGCTGCCCCTGAGCAGCGCCCCGGCAGGGGGTGGGGGGGAAAAAGCCCCGGTGAAGTAGTCGCGGCGGACACACCAGCCCCGACTCACCCACAGCGCCCTCAAGCTCTGCACGCGACCGCCACAACCTTCACTTCCAGCGTCAGCGCGTCCGCTGGGCGCAGCTTCCGTACGTGCGTAGCAAGTCCCGCCCCGCGCCGTGCGGGTAGCGCGGGAGGGGGAGAGAGGGCAAAGCTAGCGCGAAAGGGAGCGTCGCTCGAGCAAGGCGCCTGGCGGCGATTGGCTGAGACGCTCGTGACGCG